GGTTTCACAGGCGGTCAAGTTGTGCGGGAGCTGACTGGCACATCTGACATCTTGGGAAGCAGATCTACAGGCTTGTCTTCCGAGTGCCTCTGGGTCAACTTGAACTACTAACCTTTTGACTAGTAGTTAAACATTGAACTGTAGTTAAATGGAGTTTGTCTATGTTCTGTTGCTGTTGTCAGGTGTCATGGAGTCATCTCCAACCCACAGCAACCCCATGCACAGCAGAACGGTCCTGCGCCATCCTCTCAATGTGCCCACTGTGCCTATGCTGGAGCACATCAGTGCAGTTACTGTGCCAGCCCATCTTGTTGAGGGCCTTCCTCTCCTTCACGGCTCCTCTGTTACCAGACTTGACGTCCTTCTGCAGGGGCTCGTCTCTCCTGCTAATATGTCAGCGTGTCATCATCCTGGCCTCTGAGGAGCACTCTGGCACTTTCTTCCAAGACAGATCTGTTTGTTCAAAAGGACATCTCGGTCTTTAGTTCAAATGTATCAATTCTTTGGTCTTCTTTATTCAATATCCAACTTTCATGTGCATATTAGGCAACTGAAAATACCATGGCTTGGGTCCAGGAGCACCGTAGTCCTCAAAGAAACATCCTTGCTTATCAATCCTCTAAAAAGGTCTTGTGCAGCAGATTTATATAATACAACTAATCGTTTGCTCTCTTGACTGCTGATTCTGTGAGCATTGATTGTGGATCCAAGCAAGACAAAAATCTTCAGCATCTCAATTTTTTCTCCCATTTATCATCATGTTACCTATTGGTCCAGCTGTGTGAGGATTTTAGTTTTCTTTATATTGAGTTATAATCCATACTGAAGATTGCACTCTTTGATCTTTATCAGCAAGTGCTTCAGTTTCTCCTCACTTTGAGTAAGCAAGGTTGTGTCATCTGTGTATCACAGGTTTTTAATATGCCTTCTATACTAGGTAAACATGAAAATATACAATTATAATAAACAATTTAATGTGATTTAGCCTCATCTGTATTTTGGTACTGCCATTAAATAAATTCTGACTGATAGGGACAGAGTAGGACAGGGATTCTGAGGCTGTAACTCTTTATTGGGAGTGAAGAGTAGAAAGCCTTTTCATTCTCCCATGTAGCGACTGGTGGCTTCAGACGGCTGAAGTGTAAGCCACTAATACCACCAGGGCTCAGTATCTGTAAAATACTTGATGTGTAAATAACCATGTTTCAACTTCTAATAAGTCATTTATGACCTTTTTGTTTGTTTGCTTTTCATGTACTGGTTTGCCTCCACTATCTGAAAGTGGAGATTTCTGTGAAACCTTACATACGTTGAAATGATGCAAAGTGAAGAAACAATTACTATTCATTTATATGGGAAAGTTTCTTGAGTGTTTCTTGAGCCTACCATGTCATGCCAAATTACACTTAAAACTTAAAATAACCCTCTCATACAGTGTTCACAGTCACAGCTCAGAGTCAAGGTCGGTTGTTTGCACTCTGTGATGCTGATGTCATTCTCAGGAGGGGCTTGGCGACACCACTCTCGCTGCTCAGTGCTTAAGGACTCAGCCCGCTGCAAAACAGATGCTGACGCCGAGTTTTGCCTTTTTTAAAAGAAATCATTTTATTGGGGGGCTCTTAAAGCTTTTATAACATTCCATTACATCAGTTGTATCGAGCATATTTGTACTTCGTTTGCCATCATCATTTCCAAAATGTTTTTTACTTGAGCCCTTG